AAACCACTACGTTATATTGCAATTCTATTAATGTATACTTTAAAGGCTCTGCGCGCACGTTATCCGGATGTTTACGAGTCGAGACGAGGTCACAAACCTTGGTTATTGATTGAAATGGCTAAGAGTATCAGTTTCTTTTTAAATTAACGACACTCCCTATCAGTTACAAAGGTTTAGAAATACACAATTTGATTTGACAATAATGGTGTTTTAGCTGTCGTGGTGACGGGTAACTATAAAGTGGAAGCGCGTTTTGATTAAACCACCATGCTTGCCTGCATGTCAAGAAAACGGCGTCCATTTTAAGATCTCTATGTCTATGTATGAAGCGTTAGGCATGGATTTCGAGTGTCCCTGAAGCCCGAAATTGCAACTGATAACACAAATGACTAGATTTTCGATGTGTAACATGTTTGCTCTTGCTTTCGTGTAATCTGTGGAAGTGATGTCGTAAAAAGGGACGGAAATGTGTAACAGCCAGCAGAGAAAGCGTGCGCTATTTTATTTAACCAATGATCACGATGATAGAGTATGACGTCAGAGGGTAGGTGAGACGTCAAATATCACACATCTGTAAATCTAGTTAGTTTTCTTTCTATAAAATTATTTGGTTTTTGTCAACAATAAAAAAGTTACGCTTAGCATTACTTTTAAAGAAATTTGGTTATATGTCGAATATATCAATATTAGTACTTATATTTTTACGAACTGAGTTCAATTTTTGCTTAATTACGCATGCAAAGAAAGCAAGTTATCAAAATATTAATTTAGAATCTTGATAACAATAACAATGTCAGCTTAGTTAGACCCTTTGGTACTTGCGGCTCTAAGTCTCCTAAAGATAACCTGTGGTAAGCTCTATCACCTTAGAGAAACTACTTATAGAGATAGCCATGAAACATTTTTGAATAAAGAACCCAATCAATAGAGAAGCGATGGAAATAGAATATTAGCATTATTATATTGCCAACAAAAAAGAGATGTAGCATCTGGATTATGTTTTTGTCTCATTCTGTTTTTGCCAGTCTAACAAACATATATTATTATAATCTTGCTGTCGAGAGTCTGTGCCGTCAGTGCAATTATGCAAATTATTACTGCTATGGCTGCAATAAACGATAGTCTGAAATAGTTGTTTTATTATTTTACGGCTGGATGTAATTAGAACCTTATTTACGTACAAAAGGGGTAATAAAAATATTAATTATTGCTATAGCTATGTATACGGTGTATACCTATGTATGTTTGCCAAAAATGAGTTAGGATTTTCTTTTGAGTTCAGCGTTCGTAAATTTTATTGAATAAATTAACTATGTTAAAGCAACAACATTAAAGTGTTTGAAGTCAACAAACGACATTAAAATGAAAGAGAAAACATTTACTTGATGAAAATATTGTTTCAAAAAACCTTAAAGTGATGATAATAATAATAACAAATAATAGGTAATTTAATAACTAAGTAAACAACATAGTTATTTCATCATCATCATCCTTTAATAGTCCACTGCTGGATATAGGCCTCTCCTTAGAAAGGAGGTTTTGGCCTACTATACCACGCTGGCCAGACGGGTTGGTAAAGGGTTTGTGTCAAGTTTTCCTTCTCTCTGCAGTGCCGTTGTTCTGCGTAGTTTTCTCCTTTAGTCGGCTCTTACGACACCCACGGGATGAATAGGGGTGGTGACACTGTATTCTTAATCCGTCACCACAAAGATTGTGATTTATGTTACTTATTACCGAAATTGTGATACACAAACAAGTTAGTTCAGCTTGTTCATAAAAAATCCTTTAAAAATTAATACGAGGTTTTTGTATATACTTATATGTATATGTGTTTTTTACATTATGTTTTATATTACTTTGATCTGTATCTACCCATGTAATTAAATTTTCAAACATACTTTATTCTAACTTCAAAACGTTCGGTTCGTTTAAAAATAACCACTTAAAATATTCATAAACAATTTACTTAAAAAATACGCTTTGATAAACGAAAGAAAAAATATAATTTTCTTCTTTATTTGCTATATTATTGCTTTAATTTGTTAATTTTCATGTCTTATCTTTTTCATTCCTTTTATGAAAGCTCATTTTCGATAACAATACAAATATTTTTGTTGCAATATATCTCACTTAATTTCTGCATATTTATCGTAGATGCGATCTTATTTATGATAATAATATAACAGCGACGGTAGCCAAGTGGTTAAGGAGTTGGACTTACGATCAAGAGGTCGTGGGTTCAAATCCTGACCAGTACACTAACGACGTGAACCCACTCCTAACACAAGCAATTTAGCTTGGCGAGAGGGGTTAATGGGAATACTAGTTATTTCGGTTGCTAGAAAAAATAAAATAAAAAGAAAAACACATCCCACACACGGTCGTTTGGTTTCACACTAGGCAGAGCCTGTACTGTATTAATCGTCCATTCATTAATTACGTAAGGATGATTTTGACGATTTTGACCCCCCTAAGTAAGATACATAAGATTTCTCGAACCCCCCTCCCTCTTCTTACGTAAGATTTAATCTCATTTTCTAAATAATAAAACGTTGTTAGAAAAGGTAAAAAAAAAAACTCACAGTTTAACATAAATCAAAGATTTTTATGTTAAAATAATTATTTATGATATTTAAAATGGATGAAAATAAACATATTTAAGATTTTATAGTTTAATAAACAATAAAAGTTTGCAAAATAAGATGTAAATCGAAGTGCACATTTTGGAATGAAGGAAATCCGAATCCGAAATAGAAACAGATTTTTAATATTAAATTTCGACTTGTAAAATATTTTCTTAACCCCCGCTCTCCCTGGGGACCCTTCAGTAATTAATGAAAGGCCCCTAACCAGACTAACCGAGACCAGATAGATAAATTAGGTACACCCAGACACAGAACAAATGATCATACTCATCACGCAATTACGAGTAATTATGATGTAAGTGATGTAAAAAGGTTCAGCCTACATATGAATAACATTTGTTTTAACTTTTAAGCAACGTGTTCATATTCTCGTTACCACACTACTGTACTATAGTAACCGAACGGTCTGCCCACAGAAACTCGTACATGTACGCAATGCGTAAGTCGTTTATTTCACAAGCTCTAGAGATACGTCGGATTGGTCCTGCATTAGAGCAAGGAACAGCTGACAGAACTTTTGAAACAGAATTTGTTGGTCTTTAGCAAATGAATTTATAATACTGTCGCAATAATATGTTTTTTTTACAAATATTTTATTCAAAACCAAAAGTACGAGTAGTACCAAGCTATATTTTAATTTATTTAAGAATTTAATAGTTTTTTTATTTGTTAACCGACTGCGGCGAAGTCCAAAAGAATGGTCGAAGCTTTCACTGGAGCTTGTATGTCGGAATCCAATCGGCTAAAACTACAGGGTATTCAATGAATAGTGGTGCATTGATTTGATATGATCTGAGTGACCAGAGTGTAACCTGAGAAAGATACCTCCGGGAACTTTAGGAGTTCATCATCAACAATCATCAACAGCCTTTAATAGTGAACTGCTAGACATAGGTATCTCGTTAGAAAGAAAGTTTTAGACTACTATACCACGCTGGCCAGACGGGTCGGTATAGGGTTCGTTTCAAGTTTTCCTTCTCTTTGCAGTGCTGTTGTCCTGCGTTGTTTGCTTCCTTAGTCGGGTCTTACGAAACCCACGGAATGAATAGGGGTGGCGGTAACACTCCGTATTTTTAATCCTTCACCACACGTGAGTTAGATATGTAAATTAAATAAACAAATAATTGGAATAACTTTAATTTAGCTAAAACACAAACGCATTAATTTTTATTATATCATCTTTAGAATCGGTAATGAAGTTCGAAACTAGATTTTTTTAACTGTAGGAAATATGTAGGTATTTGAGTATATGTATTATTTAATGTATAATATTGGCAACACTTAATTTCTCGAAGCATTAGAAAAACCCCTGTTAACCGATAAACTTACATAGGGAATAGGTACGTGTATACATATTGTACAATTCCTTTAAGCCCTCAGATTTGTCTTTTCGTTTAATACGAGAGATTTAGCGCAGTTTTATTGTTGCCAACAAATGTTGATCGCAAACTAGATTGAGCTTGTAGGTTCTATGTTAACCAGACTGGTATGATAATCACATAGTAATATGGTATCATTTTAGTTTATATGTTCATGCCAATACTAAAAATATACAAATTTAATGGTACAGAGGGCAAAAGAAAGCAAAAACGGATTACCGTCACTGTGGGGGGCTTTCCCCCCCCCCCCCCCTCAGAATTAGCAAGCATTACTTAAAGTCTGTTTTCGGCGTGGCTGTATTATCACTCCGTTCAGGCTGGCTTAAATTTGCCTAAGCATGGCTGTCTTACGATCGTAACAACTTTCACGTAAACACGTGTTACTGCAAAATAAAGCTGTAATCTTATCCAAAGAGAGGGACAGCATGTATAACATAAACAAAAAACATCCAGCTTGTAAGTAACCTAGTATAATTTCCATCGTCTCATGGGAAGTATCGAGTCGTTTCAGAATATTAATGGGAAAGTATTGGCTCTATCTCCGCACTTAATATGTTAAGAACGTGTTTTCTCTGCAACTACCTATTTTGCATTAATTTTTGCATAAAGTTAATCATCATCAACTGCATTTAGTGGTCCACTACTGGACATAGGCCTCGCCACGCTGGCCAGACGGGTTGAGACAGGGATTGCTTCAAGATTTCCTTCTCTTTAGAGTGCTGAGAGATAAGTGCGTCAATTTGTTGAAAAATAAACTAAATTTTGGAACAGTTATCTAGTTAGTTATATAATAAATAAGAAAAAAAAATTAGTTTCTTACACAAATTAATGATAAAAATCACATATTACCTGAAAAAAATAAACAGCAGGTACTTTTTTAACTCTTCAACCACAAAAAAAAAATATTACACAGAAGTCTAGCATTCATTCATTCATTACTATATACCTAAAAAAAAAACAATTAAAAAGTAATTACGTCGTGCCTCCTCAGAAGGTGGTGTCTCCTGACTCTCCGATGGTCTTCTCACGTGCCACAGATCCTTATCGAAACTGTACATTGTCACAAGGCACTATCAACCAACACTTACTACAAAATACACTCGTTCATATCACAAATAAAATTTAAACTTCAGTCCATTATCTGTTAGGTTATCGAATGTTAAAATAATGACACTGTAATGAGACGCCCGCTCACGTCGGAGTATTGATGTCGAATGAGAGAATCGTTTTACATAAAAGCGTTAACGATTTTATATAAGTTATAAGAATATATTAAAACCTCTATGCTCTGTAACTTATACTACTGGCTTTAAATGATTAATCTAAGTACTTTTGGTTTTAATTGCATGATGTAGCGCTGCACTTGCAATCGATACGATAAAAAAAAAATAAGTGCAATCGATACCATAACAGTTATTAAAAAAAGTTGAGAGCCTTTTACTTTTTAATATTCGACGTCTCAATTGCTGTTTCTGCGTAGTACGCCCCGATGGAAAATTTATTAATGGGCTAAATATAGACATTTGTTTAGTAAGAACTTGAAATACGTTTTCTGATAACTTTTATGTTTTGGTCTAATAATATTACAAGTTGGGCAACTTGTTAAACATAATTAACATGACTGTTTTAAAGATATCAACAGATGTAACTTATCTAAGATACAAGTATCTGAAATACAGATACAAGATACAAAATACGTATTTTCATTTTGTATTTATAAAACTTTTTTTAAATACATTTTGTATCTTGGATTTAAGTACGTTTTGTTTGGTATCTTAGTATTTTCTAAAAACTATGTTTGCCAAAATACTTTTAGTAATAGATAACCGATTCAATGGTGAATTCTTAGTAAAACCATGAAGATGTTAAAATTACCTCCTTTTTTTTTATATACTTTCACACATCTCACACACGGCTGTCTGATTCCAAACTAGGCAGAGCCTGTACTATGGTAACCAGACCGCTGATAAACATACATATTATAGATAAATTACACCCAGACACAGAACAAGCGATCGTGCTCATCACCCAATTATTTGTCCTGGGTGGGAATCGAACCCACGACCTCTGGCGTAGCAGTCAGGGTCACTAACCATTAGACCAACAGGCCTCCGTTGAAGGAAAATGAAATTCACTTCATAAGTGAATATGTGGACTGTTCAAAGCCAATAGCAGAAGTTATTCAAGGTCTGCAAGGGGAACAGACACTTATTATGGTTCTTTGTCTCAATTAAAACCTTAAAAATATTATAGTATGTTGTGTCACGTTTGGGCGATCAACGCGATTTACATGTAACAAAATAAACTCATTGAAAAATGATTTTAACAAAAGTATTTTATATATAAAAAGTATTCAAAAGATACATTTGTTCTATATCTAGCATTTCAGATACCAATCCAGAAAGTTATCTGCATCTGGTATCTGAAATACTTAATTCAAAAGTATTTTGTACTATACTTTATTTAAGGTATCTTGTACATCACTGAAAGATATAAATATAGATGATTATGCATTTACCTACCAAAACATTTTAAGAAGCAGTGGAAATTTTCATTTTTATAAGTACAAATTAATTACTTAATCGGAACTAATTTATATAGTAAAAATATGTAACTAATGTAAAGAACTTTTAGCTTTTTCAACCCAAAACATCGCATCGCATTGCGCTGCCCTGCTAATGCTCTCTTGTATTGACCGTGTTTACGAGTACTTATTTTAAAGTTATGGTATCCTATACGTTTGATATTACATTTTTTATTAATTAAACCATGCAAATAATTTAACACTAGGGAATTGTGACGTCACTACTTATTAACAGATGACAGATAAAAGTTCAGTTAGAGTAACACCTACAAATAATTTTCTTTAAGTATTAATATACTTATTTATCACTTGACTGTTGTGTATGAGGAGTGTTGCGTCTTTTGGTTTGTTTTTGACGCGGTGACGTACCTACTTCACAGTTCATTACTAAAATAATTGTTTTTATTTTGAGTATTGTTAAGTCTGTATTGTGAGATTCGGACTCGGTGACTCAAGTACAAAGAGGTATACCTTTCTTTGAACTTGAGGTACACGAATCTTTAATTGTTGTCCACTTATAATAAAAGATTATAAACCGTTTTGGTTCGCCTCTCAAGCAATATTTACGGACAATAACGTGTCAGTCGCCTTGTACTTGAACACCAACCAGTTTTTAAATATTTAAAATATAAAGGACATTAAAGCGTGGGAAAATATGTAACATATTCTTTATCCCGAACTTGTTCAAATGTATTTTTTATTGACGGTAAACTAGAGAAATAACAAGCTAGTCATAGAAAAGAAACGTGACTGCGTGAAAATGTATACCTAATTCAAATTTACAATCACACTTTCCGCCATTGTTCCACACGGCAAAGTTTTCATCCTCATCAGCTGAATAGATGGCCCTCCACTACTGTGTGCGTTTCAAGACACTTTTTGCCCCGCACAACCAATCTGTGGAACGGGTTATCGTCTGCGGTATTTCCGGACCGATACGACCTTCAAGAAAAGAGCGTACTCCTTCCTAAAAGGCCGGCAACGCGTTTGTGACTCCTGAGTTGCAGACGTTCATGGGCTTCGATGGTCACTTTCCATCAGGTGACCCGTCTGCTCGTCTGCCCCCTCTAACATAAAAAAGAAAAAACAATCCGGCGACTTTAATTTTTATACACACAGACACATATTTGTGTGTAAATATATTTTAATAATTATTTTTACTAAACTGGTTATTCCTATTAAATTTGAAGCAAACATTCTGAAGGTGGTAAATTAAATGATGAAAAATACACCTAATTTAAAATTCATCATGACCTAAGCGTATTAAATATTTTAATATTTAGTATTTTAATAGAAGTATCATAAAGTCTGGCAAACTAGATGAACTAAAATGTGTGGTACAATCTTTTAATAATCCTTTAGACGTTATCATTGTGACTGAAACCTGGATAAAGTCCACCGATGAAGCTAAAGGGATACAGATCTCTGGTTACAAACATTATTATAATCATAGATGTAACACAAGAGGTGGTGGCGTTTCGATATTTATACGTAATGATCTGAAACACAACTTAATTGAGGAAAAATGCCTACACGACGACCATTACCTATGGATACACTTAAAAAACTACTCGCTAGATATTGGTGCGATATATAGAAAACCTATAGCTATCAACGCCAAAAACTTTTTAGATATTTACAGTCATCAACTTCACAACAGGAAAAGAGGAATTGTCTTTGGCGATTTTAACTTCAACTTACTGAATTCAGATCATTTAACCACCATGTACAAAGAAGTCCTTCAAGAAAACGATTACCTAATACTGAACAACATCGATGAAAAGTACTGCACGCGGGAAACACCTACTACCAAGACCATAATTGACCATGTGTGCTCGAATCTTAAGGACAACAAATTCCATTTAGCCGTCATTGATACACCTATGTCGGACCACAAACACATATACCTCGAGGTTAAAAAGTTCCAGGACTATTCTAAATCTAAGGTCAAATATGAGGCAATAAATTATAATATGATGTACAAACTTATGGCAGAAAGTAAACAGGAAACAAAAAACTGTGAATATCAAGTATTCGAAAATAAATTAAAAGCAAGTATAGCCAAGAGTAAAATTACAAAAATAAAGGTACTAAACCCGCCTAGGCAGGAATGGATAAATAGTGATATAATAAATGAAATAAAGAACAGAAACATCTTATGGAATCGATATAAAAGTAATCCTAATGATGAAACATGCAAAAGATCCTTCATAAACACAAGAAATGCCGTAACAAATAAAATACAATCAACAAAGAGTAAATATTATCAATCTGCTTTTAACAACTGCAAAAATAAGCCAAAGAAAATGTGGAAGTTAATAAATAGTCTCGCCAACAACAAAATTAAAGAAGAAGCTGTACCTACTAAACTTGTTACATCTGATAAACCTGTGACGGATAGGGAGGGGATTTGTGAGTACTTTAATGATTTCTTTTCGAACGTGGGATCAGACTTAGCTAATCAAATTCCCAAACACTATCACAACAATAATTCCATCTACATAAGCACAAATACTCCAACAACATCTTCAACACTAATTCGACTAGCATTGGCTACGAAAACTGAAGTTGCGAAAATAATACACACTTTAAATTCAAATACTGCTTCAGGGATAGACGGTATAAACACAAAATCTTTAAAATGCGTGTCAAGTATAATACTTGAAGAGCTTACCAATTGTATTAATGCAAACTTAGAAGCCGGAACTTTTCCAGACAGTCTGAAAGTTGCAAAAGTTACGCCAATATATAAATCGGGCAGTAAAGCGGAAGCAAGTAATTATCGTCCCATCTCTGTGCTCCCTGTGCTCTCTAAAGTTTTTGAGCGCATTCTCTACAATCGATTAGAACGCTATTTAACTGAACTGAATTTTATTTCTGAGAAGCAATATGGCTTTAGGCCGAAATCCAACACAGTATCGGCTACAGTGGATTTGGTTACTAAATTAAAACGTAATATAGATAATAAACAAATAGGATTGGGTATTTTCGTCGACCTTAAAAAGGCTTTTGATACAATCAGTCACACCTTGTTGCTACAAAAGCTAACTAATATTGGTATTACTGGGTCCGCTATTAATATCTTTAAATCTTACCTTACAAATAGGTGTCAGGTTGTTAAAATTGGTCAGGCGCAAAGCACTCCTAGGCATGTAACGTTTGGCATACCCCAAGGATCCATCCTGGGACCCTTGCTGTTTCTTGTTTACATAAACAGTATTCATGAAATTGGTTTAAAAGGGGACATAACACTTTATGCTGACGATACAAGCTTGTTTTACTTTGGCAGCTCAATCCAAGTAATAATTGCGGATGCACAAGCAGATTTGGATCGCTTGAACGATTGGTTTCTTCATAATCTCCTAACAATTAATACATCAAAAACAAATTACATGATATTTTCAGCTAAAAACAAAAAAATATTGCATCATAGGCCACTTACTATAAATAATATAACCATTAATAAAGTAGATC